TTCTAAATAAAAAATAAAATTCAAATAAAAGATTAATTTTTTTATCATCGCGAGAAATAAATATAATTAAAAATTTTTTATTAATTATTTTTAATATTTTATATATTTTATATATTTTATACATACATAAAGGTTTACACATTAATAGAGCGACAATAGTAGTTTTTTCTTTAGCTGTAAGAAGGTTATTTTCTAATATTATTCGACAAGCTGATTCCCAATCTTGCCGATCAGGACCTACATTTGCTACAGAACAAGCCTCTCTTACAGCTAATGCTATTATACGAGCACGATTTGTATCTTGTTCAGCAATTTCTTTAATGCGTTCATGGTCATCAGCTATGTCCATGCGTTCTTTGGATGAATTTTTTTCTGACATTAAATATAAAGATGTCGATGTCTAGCAAATCGAAGGATTTAAAAGCATTTAAAAGTGAAGTAATGAAATGATTGAAAATGTCTTTGGTTTTACTGTTGGAAACTTACATTCATAGTATTAAATGCTATATGCTATAATGGAAAAAAGAAAAACTACGAGATCAATCTATATTAACTAAAGAGAGTGACAAATTCAAATGTTTTAAGGGATAAAACAGAGATAATTCCTATCAACAAGCATTATCTTTATTCATTTTAACAGAATTTTATTGTTACGCTTGATTATAAAAAAAGTTTAGCCACAGGCAAATCTAGACCACTACTAGTTATAAACACGCTTATTTTGGAACTATTCATTTTAAATAAGATGTTAATGCATGCGGAAACTCAAATAAATAGTACCTCATACTATATAAAGGTGATGAAAACTCGGTGAAAAAGTTTTTTAAACAACAATAAACAACACGAAAACGTGTACGAACTAAATAAAAAATAGTGGTCTTCTAAAATGGTTCATTTAGATTGTAAGAAGATAAGCAACATTGCATCACAAGCTATTAATCGCATGTTAGACAAAGATCTAGACCATCTTAAAACATCAACTAAATAAACAAAAGATCATATTCATACTAGAGTTGCTCGCCTACTTTGTGAAACTATTCATGCAATACTGCAATAATTGCAGCCTCATTCAAATTTGTTTCCTTCTAAAAGAATATTATATTGCATATCTTCGGTTGATGTTTTTTTTTTTTAATTTCTCCTCTTTTTATTGAAGATCTTGTTTAATATTAATTAATATTATAAAACTCCATTCATGGTCCAGACCATAATTACTTTATATAAAAAACAAAGCGCGTTTCTCTCATAACTTTTTTAGGGTTTCAACCGTTAAATTTTACTTATTAAATTTTATTTACGTATTTAATGTAACTCTCTAATGCTCATCACTTTTTACATCTTTAGAAAAACGCCAAATACGCCTTTACAACCAATATTTGCAATATTTGTTTGTGTATGTGCATATGTAATTCAAAAGCAATTTGATTTACTTTTTTTTTTTTTTTTTTTTTCTATTGTATGAGGAGGATTTACATAACTGATAAATCCAAATAACAGCATATCAAAATATATTAAAATGGTAAAATTGGTCACTTTAAACTTTTACTACGTATACGTATACCTGATATAAAATACTAAAAATGCATTTTATAATTGCGTTTTGACCAAGAATATAAAAAAAAATCTTTTTTGTTATATTGTACATGGTTACATCTAAAAAAAAAAAAACTTTTTTTTAACTCTGTGGCCTGACTGTTCTTGGATGACAATCACGATATAGGAAAGTTTACTTGTAATTTAACTATTTATAATCTATGAAATCAAATGTTTCAAAGAAAATATTAGTCATATGACGTTAACAATGTTAAATAAAATGATCGTGGTACTAACTTTTATTGTGACCAATACATCACAGTATAAAGGATTGGTACAATATAAATCATACGATTGATTATTATCTAATCATGTGCTGCACGTTTAGGAGATCATCATTTATATATACGTATATCATATATAACACGTACTATATCATTAAAGAAAAAATTGAATTGAATTTGAATTGATTATGCAAATTTTATTTTCTGTTTTTAACTTCAGATAAGAATTTCTTAAGTTTTTTTTTTTTAATAGATTACCAGATATAGATAGATTAAGGATTTAACATTTTATTTCGTCACGATTACATAGAGTGACGCTAAGGAAAAATGTAACTTCAATTATATAAGTGCTGCCAAGGGAAAAAAAGGAAAAACATGGAATAGTTAGTTTTCTGAAATTTCATTTTCAGAAACTGCTTATAAGAATTTGATATTGTCTGTTTCTAAAAGCGGAGTTTCCGAAAATTAAAAATCTTAAGTTTTTCTTTAGATGCATTCATATATGATTGAAGTCCTCATACGTATAATTTATTTTTTATTTTAGCAGCATGATCTTCTCATTAGCATTAGAGTTGCCCCAAACGTAACATCTAACGCACGAGAGTATTGACCCACGATTAGCATATAAACACAACCATTAACTCATGTTGATCAAAAAAGAGTATTTATTTACACGTAGCATTCAATCAATTTTACCAATTCTATAAATAATCTGTAGATCTATGTATGCAATTAACACAATCAATACTTAATTGACATTTGATTGATACTTGATGTGTAATTGATTTAACGTGTTTGGATCCGAAAAGAGGTTATAATAGATAAATAAAATTTATAAAAACGTACTATCTTTCACCTTGCTTCAAGAATAGTGCTTCTTTCTTTAATATTCAATTGTTCTTCATATTCAAGTTAAAAATGATACATAATACTGTGTCACTTTATCCATAGTCTAGAATAAGTCATAGTTTATTCAGACCTTTATAAAATAAATAAATTAAATTAAATAATAACTATAAAATTTATTAATTTATATATTGTAAGTTGTTCATTACACAAATTACAGGTAATCTAAAATTCTAAACGTTTTGTACTTACGCTTTGTGAAAAATTTTTTTTTTCGCGAGAGCATGGAATATATAAGCGTAATATACTACTGTATACTGATATTATAAAATTAACTTTATCTTTTTTTAAAATAATTCTAAAAGTTGATTACTTGAAGTTATATCTTTTTACTATTATCCTATATAGCCTTTATAGCATTGATATACTATATAATTCGCTAAATTATAAAAATGCTGTAAACACTTTATAGACGCACTCGTAGGTTAAAGAAATATACGATAATTCGTACTCTAAAATATGTTATTGCAGAAGTTAAATTTTGAAAAAAGTGTTATAAACTTATATATAAAGAAAAAAAATGTGTATAAATAATTCAGGTTTGTTCCTAGTTTAACAAACTTGGTTAAATAATTTATTTAATCTATTTTATAACTTATTCTAGTTTGACTTCGTTTTAAACCAAAGTATAATACTTTTTTTTTATTATTTGAGTGCCGCCAAGTGAAAACCTGCGATTTCGATTTTTGCCGGCTCCGCTTTCTGATCCGATTCCTGATAAATTTAAATTATGCACAACATATGTTAAATCGCATTTTTTCGGGGTTTGATCTGCAAGATTAATTTCGGAAAATTCAATTCCTGGTTTTTGCTTGGCGACTCTCATCTAATATAATTAAAAAATATATAATAATTTTAAATAATTTTTAAAATTATAAACCTTTTTATTATAGTACAGTACGTGACAGCAAAAAACATCCAATTTTTTTTAAAAGCGCCAAATTTTAAGATTTATACTCAAATCTGATTGGCTAATTTTTTTGCAACAAAATTCTGATTAGTTAAAAATCTATACAACCAAATTTTTTTATATATTAAATGCCAAATTTTTGATTATATATAAACTTTAAACTCTAATAACTTTTTAAATTTATAATAAAAATAAAATCTATTTTAGCTGAATTATAGCTTAAACTAAAAGCAACAAATTTGTAAGACAGATTTTTTTAAAAGTTATTTGTTTGTTTTTTTTTTTAACTCTTTGACAATCTTGTTAGTACTTTTATTAAAAAATAAAAAATATATATATAAAATCTGCTCTAATATCCACATATAGCAAGTCTAGCATAATTTAGTTTTTCATATAAATAACCACTAATATGATCTGTTGCACTACTTTCTAGAAGATGTAGAAGACTTTGTTAGCCCTATCAAGAGTTACTTTCTTCAGATTTTTTTTTCTTTACCAAGAGCAAAAAAAAGTAAAATACTCGTATACAATACATAGAAGCTTTAAAGTAAAAGAAAAAAAAACCAAAAAGAATTACACTAAAAAAAACAAATAAAACAAAAGAGAATAGATAAAAGAAATAAAAAAAGAAAAATAATAAAATGTAAAAAAAAAAACAAAGAGAAAGGTTTATACAAAGCTAACTAAAGCTAAAACTAAACTAAAAAAAAAGAACAAAAAAAAAACTTTTTAAATAAAAAAAAAAAAACAAATACACTATTAAAACTTGTATAAAGTTTATAAAAATTATATAAAAACTGTAACAATTGTATATCTCTATTGTAAAGCTTAACTTTAATAAAAATTTTTTTTCTAACAATAATCTACCTATTTTCAGATATCTTTTTAATCTGGAACCCAATCTTTGCACATAGAGTAGCATTATATTAAAAACAACAAACCAGATACATAGTTGCAATCTACTAAATTTATCTAAAAATAAAAGATGTAAACAATGCTAATCTTTTGATAGAAGTAAATTGTTTTGCTCACTTTTTCAAAAAATTTTAAAAAGACTAGCACAATACAGAAAGAAATATTATTTTATTTGTACTATCTTTTAAAGAGTGTATTGTTTTTTTGTCTAAAATAAAATAAGACTTATAATGCCAATTGATATGCTAGAACTTTTTTTTAGTAAATTATAAACTTTAAACTTGTTAACAAGTAGTATATAAGAACTACTTTTAAATAACAAGTACTATTTTTGCAGTAAGTAATAAACTCTAAATCTACTAGCAGATAGTATATAAGAACTATCTCTAAATAATAAAAACTAACTTATGATTTTTACTTTGCCTATTACCTATTTTATCTTAAAATTATTAAATTTTTTTGAAAAAAAGTTTGTTGTGAATTTGGTACAAGTAATTATTAGAAAGAATTTTAAAAGTTATTTGCTTGTTTTTTTTATTATTATTATTTTTTTTTAATTATAAGTAATTCTGCCTTTATTAAAAGAAGTATAAGTAATAAACTACTTTAAAAATTTGTTTGTCTATATTGCAAGAATAACAAATTTTCTTCTAGTATAATAAAGACTCATCCAGTTACCAAAGTATCTAAATGCAATCTGCTATAGCATCTTTGGGGTCTAATTTACTAGAGCTTATCTGTTAATTCACTATAAATCTATTGCTAGCTTTATTAAGATTGCCCTTTCTTCTTTCTTTACAATTTTTTTTTATCTAGATCCAGGCAAAAAAG